GTATGATACCTTTTTCCCAAGAGAAGGAAAAATCATTATTAACAGTAACCAAGCTCAATTCTTCAGTATATGATTGTGCTGGAGAATACAGCTTTTGCAAATGGAGACTTAGAGCTAAGCTTCATGAGTGTAGACTCACAAACTGACAAAACAGATTAAGTCCTTTTAACAGTTTCTAAGAACAGTGGTCCCAATCTTTGGAGAGACAGGAAAACAGTGCATTTAAACAGATTACCAGTGCATAGATATATTTGCAAAATTAGAGATAGTCTTGATACTAATATTTGGAAAGCACCGTAAAATGAACTCATACAGTGCCTCAGTAATACTTTTTATGCATGCAGCAGAAAACCTGTGCTTTGCACAGAATAACAAAGACAATGAAATAGAGCTGAGCTGTCTTAGATTTGCAGCCCTTTTTATTAGGCTGCGAGTCTCAGCCTTCTGTGTGAGAAACAGAGGTGTGGAGATTAACAGTTCTGTCAAGTTATGTGTTCCTTAATTGCATTTTAGATACTATCAAAAATGATTAACTATACAGTGATATGATAATTCCTCATGATATTCCACATTACTATCACACCAACCTGCAAAGAGTTAAGATACCAAATGAAATTTTCAGTATTTTAATTATTTTAAATAACCACTACCAGTTTCCTTCATGTCACACTTTTCATAGTTTGCCCATTCCCCATTATTAATTTGTTGCTGAATTTGTTACTTGCTGAAATCAGTAAAAGCTCTAATCATAAAAGTAGATAAATGAAAGCATGAAACCAGTTTTAAATACAGACAAAAATACTATAACTTTGATTTCTCCACACTGCTGGAAACAATATAATTTCACTAATTTATGATAGCACTTTTCTTTCTTCTGCTCTTTATTACTCAAGTTGCAACTTTGGTTTTCTCAAAAGATTTGCTTTTTTATGAATATGGTGATGTGTGAGGGCACTGTTGGTAAAATTTGCTTCTGAATTTTCTGGAAACAACCATACGTTTTATTTTTAAAGAAGAAGGAACAAAATATTTAGAGTGATGAAAAGCAGTTATTTAACAGTAAGTCATGAAACTGTGCACATGCCACAGCTGAGTAATTTCTGTGAGCAGCCTCTGCCTTCCTCACCCTATCTGCCCTTAATCTCTCTAACACCCACTCTCTGTATCACAACAAAAAAATGGACTAAGCTTCTTGGTGCAGGGTTTTTTATTTCTGTAACTGCTCTGAGGCACCTAATGTACATCTGCCAGCTGCAGGGGGAAAAAAATCAACCAAAAAAAAAATGAGATGAGAAGTCATTAAACCTTCATCTCTAGGTTCAGCCTGCTGTGGATGCTTCCTCACATTCTTCCTCAAGAAAAGATATGGCATGAACATCTTGTTCCATGACTCCAAAGCAAGTGAAAGAGTCCAACTAACATAATCAAAATGCTGTCATTCATATACACTATTTAAATCCTTATCACAATGTCAAACCAGATATACAAAAACAGCTGTGAAGTCAGCATGCCTTTTGCCATGAATGTGGTCAAGGTTGCCTGTAATACTTCATATGTGATTAATATTCTACTTTTATATATATATATATATGCATGTATATATATGTTATCCATTATTACATTTCCTTTAGGAAATCAGAAGTACAGATTGGCAGACTGGAATCTTCAATTTGGGTAAAATCCAGCCACTGACTGGAAAGATGAAGTTCGGGTTCTGCCATGTTGCCCCCTCCCCCCCAACTTCCTTTGCCTTCCTACACTGGTGTTCCTCCTCTCCTCTCACTTTTTCATATTCCCGTGTCTTAGCTCTGATGTGACATGATATCTAATGGTGGCAAGAGCTAGAAGAATTGAGCCTGTGATCTGCACAGACCATCAGGAGACAACACTATGCTGTCAGAAAACTATCACACTTGAAGTAAATGTGCTTTATGGTGTAGACCTCATAACAAACTACTCCCGCAATGAGCTGAGCTATTGATTTTAATGTGCTGAAGTGTTTGTACATTTATATGAATGCAAATTTTACACATGCCATGGGACCCGCTCAGGGTCTGATTCAGCACTACTGAAGTCAGTGAGGATTTTGGCATTCGAAGATTTGCGTGTAGAGTTTCCTCATAGAGCATGGAAGAAAAGATGTTCACCCCAAAACCCGCTTCAGAACATAATGTATGTCCATTTTTTAATAGGTTGAACTTGAAACACCATGAAGCACCTGGTCTTGCTAACAATTTGCCAGTTAAACTTCAGTGGATATTACTAGATCTGCATTTTTCAAACCTCAGGTTAAATGACATTTAAATTCATTTCCTGCCTGAACTATCCAAAAATCAAAAGCTTCTAAGTCACAGCACCAAGCCTGTCAGAGTTTATGAAGGGTTTGGACTATGTTCTTAGTCATATGGTCTGAATTTTGGGTAGACCTGTGTGGTGCCAGGAGTTGAACTCGATGAACCTCGTGGGTCCCTTCCAACTCAGGATGTTCTATTATTCTCTGACTCCTTTAAGAGAAAACTGGTCTCAGTGGCTGGTGCTGGTGCTTCTGCTTTTTGGATACAGTGCATTCCAATTTAACAATTGAAATTCACCCTTTCGTTTAAGTTTTGGGGCTGGGAGATAAAGCACAGAGATCCACACTGATGCAGCTCTGCGTAGAGCAATCCTGTCTCCTTGACAGGCTGACTGCATGCAGTGTTTTTGTGCACCAGGATGTTCATGATAAAAAACAATGATGGTAAGAAGATTCAGACTGAGAGACAGCATCCATTCCACCCTTAACAAAATAGACTGGGCTACTGTCAGACTGGGCAAATAAAATTCAGATGATCTGGCTTTTACAACACTTTATTTTTCTCAATTTTAAAATTGTGCTTTGGAAAAGAAGGAACAACTTTTATATAAGAGAAGAGTCCCTTCTACACACAGGGTTAGTCTTCAAATCAGAAGACATTTTGCTTGCAAATATGCAACATATCAACATACATTTCTGTGCAATGGAAGTTCACAGACCAGTTATTTCCCTTGACTCTGAGCAGGTTTCTGCCTCCTGTTATCAGCAAAGCATAGTTGTTCAGGGAACTGCACACAAATTACTGAAATTACTTTGGCTGAAGGGAGAGGGTGCTGAAGAAGAAATGTACATGTGTTACATCAGCTGCTAGTCAAATGATTCTATGTATTTCTAAGCCAGCTACTTGCCTGTTGAAAAGCTGAATTAAACTAGTGTGAAGAAAGACACTTAGCAGATTTCCTCTCCTTAAAATTGTTCATCTTCAAGCCCTTGGTCAGGTATCTTAGTGACATTATTGTCAGCTTCTTTACATTGTTCCTCTAGGAACAGCCACACTGAGCTTTACTTGGCATCAAGTAAAATATGTCTCTGTGTCAGGGCAGACAGGATAGCCTGGAATCCCACAAGATCTAATTGGTACTCTAGCAAAAAGAGCTATCTCCAGCCCTACCTGGAGAGATATATTCTAACATTTTTGGTATCCTTCTGGATGCTTTTAGAGAAGGCTCCTTTTTGTGTTCGGCATTTCATCAGCTCTCCCTTTCGTGGAAACTCTAAATCACGCATTTAAAAATAGACCATCAGATTATCTGGGTAAATCATAAAGCTCAGCTTATCTCTCTCTTCCCTTTCAAAATATACAATTTATTTTGTCCACCAGCTCAGCAGCATGAAGCCATGAATAATCCTGTATGTCTCAGTATCTGAGTCTTTTAATTGTCCTTATGTATGTCCAGTATGCGTATGTATGTCACTATGGGGCATGTGTGCATGTAAGAAGGGAGAAGAAATTTACACTTCTGGGCACAAAGGTGTACAAGTCTGCTTATGTTTATGCCTGCACCAACTGTGTGTGTCTTAGCATTGCAGCACAGTTTTTACAAGGCCATGGAGAATAATGCCAGAATTCATCAGAAGCAACGTACTAAGTACTTAAATTATTCATTAAATTGTTAGTTAACACCAGTTTAGACCCCAGAACCTATGTGCTTCTCCTGAGGGCAAACATGATCAATGCGATACCAGGGAGGACACAAAAATTCTATATTTCTCTTTCCCAGTGGTTCACAGGCACCATATAATGGAGCCTGAAGCAGCAAATCCTGACTCCCAGCCCTAGTGTTCCCCTTACACTCATCCCCTCATCCTCCTCCTTCTGCCAGTGTGGTCCATCAGGCCATGAGAGCCGGAGAAAGCCCTGCAGGGCTATAAATAGCTATTTGGGGGAGGGGGAGGAGTGCAGCAGCACGTTTCCAACGATGCTTGCTGCAGAGGGAGGTTTTTCTGGATTAATGCAGAGAGGAAAAGGAACTGCTAGGAAGTTCACCGGCATACCAGGTAATGCCTGTGGAGAGGGGGCAGCAAATGCCATAGGAAAACTGAAGAGGGAATGCCGTGCTCCCTGGGAGAGCAACGAGGTGGGCTTCCCCTTTGAGTTTTTCTGCAGAACCCTCCTGAGATGGGCTACGGGCACTAAGGGTCAAAGGCTGAGACGGATAGCAAGAATACGAATCAACACAAAGCGTTGTTAGTACACGCAGCTTATTGTCTATGCCAAATCCGTTGTGAATGAAGCGGTCTTATACGTGCTGGATTTGCACTGACTGTGCATGCGGTGCCCCTGGACCTGCCCCAGCGTGTAATCGCTTGGATGGCTCCCCTTCCTTAGCGCTCCCGTTTTCCTTCGACCGACAAAGCCGAGAGTCCTGTTCCCCCGGGAGTCACCCTAAGCCCCCGGTCTCCCGGAAACTTTTGGGAACTACAAGCACCGCCGAAGCCGGGCTGCGTACGCCCGCCCCCCTTCCCGGCCAGGGACACACCGGGCGCTCCCCGGTGACCGCCGGGCGCTGCCGCCGCCCCGGCTGGCCGTGCCGGGAGGGCACCGCGGCGGGCACCGCGCTGCTCCGCGCCTCCCCTCCCGCCCGCCGGGCACGCACCGCGCGGCTGGGCTGTGCTGCAGTGCCCGGCCCGGCCCGGCCTCTCTCACCGTCCTCCAGAGCCGCTGCCTCTTGGTGCTGACGGAGGTGGCGGTGACGATGAGGTGGGAGACGGACACCACCAGCCCGAAGACGATAGCTAGCAGGGTCCGGACGGGTAGCAGGGAGTAGGAGACGAAGGTGACCAGCATGAGCTGCCACATGCCCTGCTCGGGGGCGCTGGGGGGCTCCATGCCATAGGCGCCGAGTGAGAAGGGGCAGCAGAGGAAGGAGAAGGTGAAGCTGAAGAGCAAGGTGAGCTTGACGATCTGCTGCAGCTGGGTGACCTGCAGGTACTTGACATTGGTGACGATGAAGAGGGAGAGGAAGATGATGCAGTGCACCGGGTGCGAGCCTTTGGAGATGGTCAGGCTGGGTCCGGAGAGCAGCTCCACAAGGGCCAGGCTGGCGGTGAGCACGATGAGGACGGCCAGCGCCTTGAGGGTAGACGTCTGCTCCAGCTTCAGGTTATAGCTCTGGAAGAGAGCCTCCAGCTCCTTGCAGTCGAACTCGTCCTCGCAGGCGATGGCATCCAGCAGCAGCAAGGGAGGGGGGTCCCCCAGCCCGGCTCCCGCTCCCGCCGCCGCGGCAGCAGGCGGGGAGCAGCAGCAGTGGCAGCACTTCTTCCTCTTGGTCTTGACTTTCTGAAACGGTATTTCCTCCATATCAGTGCCATTCATAAACACCCGTGAAAAATGCTCCTCCTGGCGTCCCCGGCTGCCGCTCCTCCGCCTCGCTGCTCATAAAAGAGAGGGGGGCCGCGAGCAGGAGCCGCGGCCGCACGCCCGCAGGCGGCCCCTGCCGCCGCAGCTCCGCGGACGCGGGCACCGGGCACCGGGCACAGCCCGCCTGCCTGCCGCCGTCCGCAACCAGCGGCGCCTGCAAACGCCCCCCTCCGCTGCCACCGAGAAGCCGAGGGTGGCTGGGACGGCGGGAGGAGAGCCTCACTCGTGTCAATATGACAACCTTCCTGCCTGCTGTCTCTCTCTCTCTCCCCCTCCACCCTCCTCCTCCTCCACCTCCTCCTTCCTCCCCTGGTGTTCCAGGGATGTTAATCTCCTAATGACACAAAAATACCATCCAAAGGTTTGAAATCAAGCGGGGGGAGGGGTGGCAGAGGGGGGGAAGGGCAGAGGGTGCGTGGAATAATCAACAGGCGGGTCTCCCTTTAGATACAGCTACGTGGAGGAGCGAGAGCTGCGGAGAGTGGGTGCTAAACGGGCTCCCGGGGGTGGGCAACACTGAAAAAAAATAATAATAAAATTAAAAAAAAAAAGGCGGATTAAAAATGAAACCCAGGCAGGAGACCAGGCTAAACGCAGGAAAAGTGGGGCAGCGGTGCCGGAGAGAAAGCAGAAGGCAGGAGGGAAAGGCAGGGCGATCCTCTTCGCACGTCCGAGAGCATCTCACCGGAGCTGGAGAGCGAGAGGCGCCTGCGCGCCGCTCGCCCGGGGAGCCGGGCACGGCCCCCGCCGGGCACCCGCGGCAGGGGAGCTGCGGGGGGGACCGCCCGCGCCCTGCGCAGCGCCGAGCACCCGCACCCGCGGGGCGCCGAGGGTAAGCCTTGGAGCTGCGGCTTGCTGTCTGCCGGCCTCGTGTTTCCCGCCCACAGTCACATCTACTGAAATACGTGCAAATGTAGAAAACCGATCGACAAAAAAAAATAGAACTATGCACAAATAAATATATTAGATATAAATATATAAATATATTGGGTATAAATATATAAATATATTAGATACAAAGAGGGGTGAGTCCTTCTTCCTGTGAGAAATGAATACTTATCTGCCTGAATAAACATGCTGATTTTATGATTTTTGCCTTCTAGTCTCTGAAATACTTGGAGAAGTGCAGTGCATAAGAAAATTTTCAGGAAAGCACATTTCTGTGAGCACTTCTGCGTGTCTGGAAATACAAATCAGTCAGTGGTTGTGGAGGGCTACTCTTGTGACAGGAGTTAATTAACATCCTGCACAGAACTGCACTCTGTGCTTCATCAAGAACTTGAGTAGGGAATCTGTACGTTGTTTTGAAAAAACATTCAGCACTGCCTATAACACCACTACTATATATCACTATTAGCAAATTGCCAGCAAAGAATACCATTGCATCTAATTTGGAGATCAAGAGGCTGACTCCATGGTCATCAAAGACTGGAGAAAGGATTACAATGTTTGTGTTGGTTTTGGTCTAAGCATTTCTAAGAAACAGGGTAAGGAAAACATCAAAACTGGAAATTTTCATAGATGATTAACATATGGCTTTTCAAAGGTACTGTAGGAATACTTTCTAGAACCAAAGCCTACCATCACAGATATGTTGAAGTTCTAATTGCTGGGTTTGTGTCAGTAGTGTCAAATTCTGGTTCCTGATTTAAGCCAAAGAGCCTTAAGATCAACAGCAGACAGATTTCTTCAAAATTTGTTACAGCTATGAAGGTTAATGATATTTTATTTCAGGAAAGTAAAGTAACATTAAATAATATCTCCAATACATGAGATAAATTAATATAGTTTTTACACTATTATTTTAGTATTTTGTTGTAGTCTGAGCCTTCCAGACTCAGTATGGCATTGTTCTTTTGAAACTGTATAGACCTTACCAGGAAAAGGGAACGAATCATCATTGCTGGAGTTCATGTGTTACAGATTTAAAATAAATATTTCACGTTTGAGGCAGTGATTGTCATTTTGTGATCATGAAACACTGTAGTTTCACACTGTGAATTATTCCCTTAAATTCTGCAGAATGGGGGAAAAAAAAAAAAAAAAGCAAGCTAGTATTTATATTCCTGTAACTCACTTCAAGAAGAAAGTAAAGGGACTGGGTTTGCTGGCCTAGATCCTGGAGACAGGAAGAGATGTTTAACTGAAATGAAATGTAAAAACTAAAGCTTCCTTTGTTTTGCAGTGTCTCCAGTGTGTTTGGAAAGTTACTAAAATATATTTCTTTGTTCATTTTGATGCATAAATTCACTTCAGCCACACATGTATTTTTAACAGATGCTGTTATCTTTTCACTTGTCCTCTAGTTCCTTCTGAACTCATGTATCCCAAGGGATAAATGGTATTTTATATCTTACACTGCATTAGAGGTGGTACCTAGCTGCCCAGCCCTAGGAACTGAAAGAGTTGCCATGCTTTCTTCTGGTTGTCAGTTTGCTGTTGGAAAAACAGAAAAAATGAGTAATTCCCTACAAGGCCCAATGTGATTTAGATTATTTTCACACTTGTTACAACCTCAGATTGGGTTAGTTAGTACATACATCCAGAAGAAAAGGCTCATATGTATGAGATATACATATCTCCATTCTTATTAGGTCAGGGGGAAGCAGTGAACTGTTGAAGATTTGTCTAACTTAGATATTGCAGGAATATGGAAATGTCACACAGTGATTAATTAAACTCTCATTTTTTATATGATGTTTCACATCACAGGGCAAATACTTCACCTTACCCTGCATAGTGAAGAACACATTTTTTTACCACCTGACGGCACAAATATAAAGAAGGAACCTTGGAACCTCTGTCTGAAACAAGAACATAATTACAGCAAATAACCACCTATAAAACTGCTGGAGTACATTTGACACAGTGCTACGTTTTCCAACTAAACTTACCTGCTGCAGATAGCAGTTGCCTGGTTCAGGTTTTGTGAACTATGAACAACGCTTTGTTGGCTATACTGCACTTCTAGTTCATTTCTAAGGAAGATATGTGGTTGGTTTTGATATATAATGCCCTCAAAGTTCTGGATATTGGCCAGATCCAAGCCAGTTCTTCCTGTTGAACATCCTTGTATTTGTAACCAGAGGCCACAATGGAAATAAATGTAGTATTGACTGGAAAGGGTGATTAAAGTACAGATTTATCACCTCTTGCGTTGCAAAACTTATCTGTTCAGCTTTTTCCTGAGAAGCAAGCTGACTTGGTTATTTGAGTCAATGGAAGTAGAAATCTTTTCTTCATGGAGAGTTGGGCAGTGTATGGATTTAGATCAGACTGAGCAGAAGTCTCTGTTTCGCTGGACCTTAGGAGCAGTCTTGAATTAGAGGTCTACTCAGAATTTCAGAATGTCTATTGTAATTTATTTTGTGCATATAGCTTATCCATTTAATAACGATTTATTTTTCACTGTCTATTCTGTTTTACTGTATTAAACCCTGTACTTTTTTTTTTTTTCTTCTTCTCACATCCCACAATTTCAGGCAGTCACTGCTTGATGCATTGGCTGGAGATCACCTTTGGAAGCAATATTTTTTATAGAACTAGAGCTTTTCAGATTCATGGCAAATTTAGAATTAAGAAGGTCAATGTTTAACATCACTAGATTTTTTGTCTTGGGTTAATTTTTTTCTGTGCAAGGATTGCAAAGATCTTCATCTTTTATCCATAGTTAGTGCAGCCTACTTGTAACAGAATGACATGATCTATCATCTAAGACAGGGATATATTATTATTTTTTTCCTTCTCACCCCCTCTGACAGTAAAAGTAAGGACTCTGCATAAATCTATAGAGAAATTTCTGCAGACTCATTCTAGCGGGCACAGCTTATTAATGCCACCACAAAAAAAAAAGAGAGATGTGCCTAGCAAGAGAAAAGCAGTGATATGGGCAGAACAGGTCCTGCAGAAAATGGTAGGAAAGGTCAGGCTTAAATGTAGAGATTCAACATAGTTTTTTCCTCCTCTCATGGATCTTTGAAATATATTCATTGTTCTTTCTAGATTTTGAGGAAAGTTTGGGAAAAAATAAGTGAAAGTTTATTTTCCAAATCATTGAGTTTTTTTTTGGAATCAGCATATTAGCATCCTCACTCTCATTCCTAATCCAAGAAATATAGATTAGATTTCCATACGGCTACTGAAATACTGTTTGAATGGATTTCATGAGCATCATAATAACTATTCCTTTTTTTTTTTATGATTTTAAAGTTTGATTTCCTTTTATGCATTCTGCTGGAAAACAAATGAACCAGATATTTCTGATACATACCACTTCTACAGATACACAACTTGAGCTACAAGTTTGAATTTATCTCAAGAGTGTTTCTAGAGCTGAAATATAATTTCCCCAGTGACAATAAGCGAAAAACTTAAAACACCTACAAATTTCACATTTAGGAAACAGTGCTCGACCCAAACAGTGTACTCCAAATAAATTACTGTTTTAGATGTTTCATTCTGTGCTTCTTTACAAAATAACCAACTTTAAGAGACAAACAATTACATTCAAGGATATATTTAGGGTATAACACTAATCACTCAAGGACAAACTTGTATCTTAGCTTCTGTCCAGGTCTAAAATCAGCACCTTTGCTCACTTAATTTCCTTTGGACCAGCCTTTTACACTCACACTATTTTATTCACAATTTTATCTGAAGTCTAGTTAATTGTGTAGTCTATTGGAAACAATAAATAAATAAAATAAAATAAATAAAATAAAATGAGAAGAGAATTACACTAAGGGCTTGACCTTAAGTCATTTGTCAGACAGGACTGCTGATGCAATAATTAGGAGATTTAGCTGAAAACAAAAGGGTTAAAGTGGCTAATTTACCAGCAGAATATAGGGATGAGTTTTCTCCAGTCCTCTGCTGAGCAGAGAGTACAGGCATTAAGACCATTTGAGTCCTTTACCTCTCTCTTCTATTCTAAGCCTTCCAGGATAGCATGAGACTTCTGTGACCTACTGAACTTCTATATTAATACTAATGATTCTTTCCAGTGAGCAAGCAACATGCTTTTCAGCCAGCATGGATTTATAGCAGGTCAGCTGGATCTT